GTCCAGGGTAAGTGCCCAGAGGACCCAGACTTCAAGGCGTTCTCTCAGCTGGATCTTTGTCCTTTGTCTTCTTCTTGCTCCTTTTCTCTTCTTTCACAAACTAGCTTTTCTTTCTATCCTTTTTTTAAAAGAATGAGTCATGCCACATTTAACCAGCAGTTACTTTACGGCCTGTAGATTTGTCATTATTTGGTTTTATTGCGGATTTACACTTACAAACCTGCCACTGCTGTGACTATTAAAGCCTTAACTGGTGTATTTCATGGACGACCATACAGGATACAAAGTCTTTATTGACTTGTATTAATGCAGCAGCAGTGATGACCTCTACTGGTTTGATGAGGCGAATCAAATTCAGTGTACGTGCTGTTAGATGGCAAACACTAACATGCTTTTGTCCAATCTGTAGTCACATCTTCACAACATCTATCTGTGGTGGACCATACCATTAACACAATTTGTTTATTTTACAGAATATGCAGTAATTAAAACGTTTCTAAAATGCTTACATTTTCTTTACACACAAGCTTACTCAATACCTAAATGTTTGACCCCTTCTTTTCTTATTTACAGGCATGCCAAAAATAGAAAACTAATGTGCAAAATGTTGTCATATAAAGCCTCTACTTCTGCAACAACAGCATCTCAAAAGCTAACAGATTATTGAAACATTGAGAAATAGATGATTTAAGTTGTGTTTAATAGACCAACCATTGCATCTTCCTCAATGGGAGACATCGCCAGGTGTCGCAAGTTCTCGCAGTTACATAGACACAAGGGGACTTTTGGACTGATTTTAGGAGATTGTATAGACTTTTTTTGCCTTTTCTTATTTGTACTGTATTTGTGCATTTTATTTTTACACATTTGGAACCAAAGACCATGTATGTTGGATTGCTTTTGCTCACCAGCAGCAATTTCATGTTGCTAATGAAGCTCTGACCACAGCAATTGTGTCACTAAGTAGTTTTTCCCTACTGCACACAATGCTTACATTCAACGCTCAACCACAAAAGAGAGTGGTTTAGAGTGAAAGGAAACTTAATTATAAATAACAATGGATTTCCATAGTCTCTTGTATGCCTGTAAAATTGAAACATGAAAACAAATGCAGTTTTTGTAATGCCATCAAGTGTTTTGAAAGTTGTGCTATAATAGACTTGTATTTTCCACTGGGATAAAAAAAGGTTTCTAAAGAATGATTTCAGATTGAGTTTGGTTTGCCGTGTTTTGATAGAGTGAGTGTCGGCTCTAAGGCTGTTTCTTAAACTGCAGATTGTATTTCTGCATTTTCATATGCCCACCACCACCATGGATACAAAAGCCCTGTTTCCACCAAGCAGTACGGTTCAGTTCAGTACTCTAATTTTCCGCTTCCACAGTGAAAAGTTGTGGATGGTAACAATGGAACCGTTCTGTACCGTCCCCATGTTTGGTCCCCCCTCTGTTGGGGTACCTAGCACACAGATCTGGTACTAAAAGGTGGAGCTGTGAACGCTGCAGTCTGATTGGTCAATAGAGGACGGTCACTCTGCTCAGGGCTGAGTTGTGTCCAGTTTTGAGGCTCATGTAACCACTGTTCATACTGTGGAGAGTTTTATCAGTAAACTGTAACTATAAAATGAAAGGATGTTTTGCTGTCTCTCACAGCAGCTGAAGTCTGAGAAAAAATAACTTCATTCACTGGGCCGACTGCCGGCGACTTTTAAGGTGGAACGTTTAATTGTTATGTTACTCAGTGCATGAGGTGATGACATGAATCCATCAACACACCTTAAATTTCAATATGACAACTTTGACCGTTACTTGAGTTTGTATTGCAATGGATCTTCAAGTAAAACTTGGGACAAATTCTTATATGACAGCCAAACAGTGCACTAGAAAATGTTTTTTAGGTGAGAAATAGAAAGCTGAAAATACTGAGATCACACGGTAAAACTACACGGCTGGCCACCAATGTCATTAGACAAATGATATGTGGTTGAATTTAGGTTGGGACGACTGGTGACCAAAGTTCAATGTCAGGACACATCTAATGCCAACGTCATTTTGACATAGAATACTGACGACAGATGACACTGAGTTGGGTCGTTGCCAATGTAAAATTCTAATGTTGTTACACAATTAAATCATTCTCAACCCAATTTTCATTCCAACCAGAGCTTGTCATCTGGCCAGTGTAAGAGTCCAACATCTCTATGATGTCATATTAATGTCTGTAATTCAAGGATGTTTGTAACCAGCTGGTTAACATGATGTCTCCTGTGTCAAAACAGCCAAGCATGCATCATGTCACCCATCAGCAGGAGCGTTTTTGGTCTGGTGTGGCACAGTGTGTTCTTGTAGTTGCAGGTTTTCTACCTCTTGAACAAAAGCGCCTTTTTCTCTGTTGTCTATTTGTGTATTTGTTTCTAGAGCATAGACAGCCCAGTTTTATGAAAAGACCATTTTTCCAGCAGTGAAATACTTCTTTAAGTATAGGTCAATACTTGTTAGAGATTAAAACTGTAAAGTGTGTGAAAAGTCCAACTCTTTCTAAGGACGGGTTTCTGCTTTCTCTCTGCAGTGGCATTGAAGATGACGGAGCCAGTCTTAGGAAACAGAAGCTCGAGAGACAGGTAGGAAGCTGAACTTCACCCACAAATTAACAACAATTCACACTTTTGTTGTTTGTTTTCTCATCATTTTCCTAAGGCTTTGATGTCTTTACTCTTTTGTACTCTCAAAGAACATCTGGTGTAGTTCACAGCTATTATAGTGCACCCTAAGTCTGGTTAAGCCTTCTTACTCACACAGAGATGGTGTTTTCGAGAGCTAACCTGTTGTATTTGTAAGCACCTGCCAAGATTTAGCATGAAAGCGGTCAAATTAAAGGGCTGAGACGACCCTGTGTTCTGCCACTCTGGTGTCAACGAGGGGTGCCTGCTGTTGGCAGGAGCTGCTTTAACATCACCGCAGCGGCGTGCAATTTAGTGATTAATGTTGTTGGTTTGGAAATCTCCTGTTTTTCACCTGTCCAGTCAATTGGAATTTTAATGCTTGCTTACTCCTGAGGCAGAATTGTTTCCTTTTATCCAACCATTACCTGACACAGCCCCTCTTCTGCCACACATTTGTTCCCTTTTCATCCCCCCCGAGTCTCAGTGAGACGCTTTATCTCAAACCTTGCTAAGGAGCTGCGGTGTAGAGCTTTGATTAAGCTGGAAGCTGTATTCCACTATCTCACACATTAGGCAGAAAGGAACAGGAGGGCCAGATTGGTGAGTTCAAAGAGAGGGAAGGATTTAGTGTGGGGCGCCTGGCTTTGTGTGTGTGTGTGTCTCGTGGTCCCGCTGTGGCTCAGTTATGCTGCACACTTTCAGCTGAGTCCAAACAGACTCACCCGAGAGTCTTCTGTTCTTACATAACTCATGAGGACAAACACAGATGCTCTAATGCCCAGAGGGGATCACATGCAGGTTATGGAAAAACTGAGATATAATAAACAATGAAAGTAAAATCCATCTTTTTACTGTGCTTTCACCATGGGTGGATTATCAAACGGGCCTACCAGGCACAGGCCTAGGGGCTCCCCTGGTCTTCATCTGCAAAATGTTACTCAAAAGCCCCTTTTACACTGCTTCTTCAAGGTGGGAATTTTACACCATTATACTGCCTCACTGTTCTGTATAAAAGGTACAGTAGCAGAATTGGGGCACAGAGTTGTTGGGCCTTTAAGAGGGCATCTGAGGTAGTAACAGCATGACATTTGAAACGTGGCGTTTGACAGCGTGTTCTGTGTGTGAGATGTAACTAAAAGCTAATAGCAGTTAGCAGCTAACTCAAAAAAGAAGAAAAGTGGATGAAAATGTCCACAAATTGGATAAACAATGAAGTCAGGTTGCTCCTTACCCTCAGAGCAGAGGATGAGATCAGCTGCCGTATAACAGAGATGATAAATGATTGTTACTGCCATGTTACGCCATCATTATTGTTTACAGAGCACTGCTGACACTCATGTTATATGTCACACTAGAGACTTGGTACTTGGTAGAGAGGGAGTTGGTAGAGTTCATATAGTGTGATCTCTGTGTAAATAGATCTAAAGTAACACATGCCTTTCAGCAAAGCTCAAACAGACCACAAAGAGAAAAAAAAGACTCCAAAGAGACAAAAAAGACCAAAAAGAGATACAAAGGAACTGCTGAGACACACAATATCTACAAAGACGTGGCAAAACAACCACAGACAAAAAAAAGACACAAATGTACCTCAAAGAGACACACAGAAACACAAAACAATAAAAAAGACACAAAATTACTACAAAGAGACACAAAACAACCACAAAGGGACACAAATCGCCCTTAGAGGGTCATAAAATGACCCCAAATAAACACAAATGGCCTCAAAGAGTCACAAAATGACCACAAAGAGACACAAATTGCCCTTAGAGGGCCATAAAATGACCCCAAATAAACACAAAATGACCACAAAGAGCACAAAACGACCAAAAAAGACACAAAAGTACTTCAAGTAGACACATAATTACCTACAAACCTACAAAAAGACACAAAATGACCATGAGACACAAAATACTTTCAAAGAAACACAAAACGACTACAGAAAGACATAAACCACCAGAAAGAGACACAAAACAAACCACAAAGAGACACAAAATGCTTTAAAGAGACACAAAATACTTTTAAAGAGACAAAATGCTTTTAAGGAGACACAAAATGCCTATAAAAAGACAAAAAACTACCACAGAGTGACATAAAACAACCATTAAGACAGACAAAATACCCTCAAAGAGAGAAAAAACAACAACAAAAAGACACAGTCACCAGAGAGAAAGACACGGAACAACCACAAAGAGACACAAAATGACCAAAAAAAAAGACAACAACACTATCTTAAATAGACAACAAAACTAAAAAGTGTGGCAAAATGACCATAAATTCTGTGTGTCTTGCTCCTGTGTAGGAGAGGTGGTGGGGCCCTCTGCTTGTCTGCGCCCAGGGGCCCATTGTCTCATAATCTGCCCATGGCTTTCGCTCAAATCAGTGTTTCTGGTAAAATGAAAACCATTGAGACAATAATACCAGGAGCACCTTGTGGCTGTGACCGTATCTCACTGTGAGCGTACATCACAGCTCCCCCCTCCTCTCTCCTCTGTCTCTCCCTCCCGCTGGAGCACTAATGACGGCTGATTCAGTTAGCAACGGGGACCACGCTTACACTCACACTAACGCGCACACTAGCGTTCAGCGTTTGCCAGAGCCAGACCCTTTTCTGTCAGAGGAGTGCAGAGGAGGTTGTCGGTGTATCGGCGGTCAAACTCCAGTTCCAGAGAAGGAAATGACGGACAGTGAGACAGAGTCATTCCCAGCAGGAGTGCTGCTCTTTGGGGGAGATCGTACTTGCATCTGACCTCAAGTCAAGCGCGACTTGGAATGTTTTTTCTGTAGAGAAACCGGTCAGCTTTGACTCGCACTTGTTCAGGATGTCAATGGAACTGGTTGGTAACTTCTAATATCTCTTTTTCTGATATATCTTCTCTTCATTTATCAACAGTTTGTGTTCAGTGACATACTGTAGGTGTGTGTGACTGTTTACCCAGTCCTCTTATCTGTGTGAGACAGGAAAGATTCGGACACACAGTAACCTCTCACTGAATATATTCAACCTTTGTCTATAGATTCTTTGCAAAAAAAGGCACATTAATATACAGTATGTCTCCTCAAATCACATTTATACTTGAGTCTGCTTTATCTCATGTTTTGGCTGATGCAGGAAAGACCGTTGGAGCCTGAATGAAGTCACATCCTGGTCTCGAAATGCCAAGTATTGAGTCTTTACAAAAGAATGCCATGTTACAATAGATTGGCTTTAAATAGCAACTAGAAGGGGAGGCAACACACATTGATGAGATTTTGATAATATGAAGAAGTAGTCCAGGGTGTATGCCCAGTGAGTGCAGGTGAAATCAGTGTTAAAGGGACGGTTCACCCCCAAATCAAAATTTGTATTTTATTTTTCTTACTTGTTGTGCTATTTATCAGTCTAGTTTGTTTTGGTGTGAGTTGCTGAGTGTTGGAGTTATCAGCTGTAGAGATGTCTGCCTTCTCTCCAATATAAAGGAAATAGATGGCACTCAGCGTGTGGTGCTCAAAGTGCCAAAAAATACATTTGAAAAACCCAACAGCAATGTCTCTTTCCAGAAATCACAATCTGGTTACTTCAGATAATCCACAGACTTTGTTGTGTTCAGTTTCATGCAGGAACCATTTTCTTTTCACCAAACTACACCTGCCAACCAAATCACTGCCCAGAGGGAAGCCAGCATCTACTGCCAGCTTCCATAGCACCACTGAGCTTGCTAACAGTAAGGCCTTAACACACCAAGCTGACAGTTGGCTGCTGGTCAGTGTTGGGCTGTCGGTGAGCATCTATGAGATTCAGGATTCAAGATTCAAGATTCAATAATTTATTGCCATGTCAACATAGTTGATAGGAATGTGTCTTGGTTCGCTCTCAGACAATAATACAACAATCCAATACACCACAATAACAATACACACAGAAAGACAGTACCCAGCAGCGTCACATTCAGCAGAAAGTGCACAAGAGTGCTTACAGTTTAAAGTGCTAACAGTGCATGTTGAGATGCCTTATGGCTTGGATGTAGGTGCTGTCTCTGAAGTGAGATGTTTTTCTCTTAATGCTTCTGTAGCACCGGCTTGAAGTAACTCAGTCTTATCATACTGAAGTAGACCAAAGCAGGGTTCCGGGAACAAGACAACACTAAACAAACAATTAGTGAGAGCAGAACCGAGTCGCCATAGAGCGGCGCCATCTTGCCCCAGTTTTTGAGGTGTTTCCTACACTGTTGGCACTAGTCTGCCCGTCTCGGCCTTTTTTTGGGTGATTCAGCATGTTGAATTGACGTTGGAGCTGGCAGAGCTCATCTGTGAATATAATCACTCTGATTTGCAGTTAAGCTCAGTGCACAAGAAGGGTTGGGAGAGAGTTACTGCCTCAAGCAAGCTAGCTCAAGTATCTCGGGGTCTTGTTCACGAGTGAGGGAAGAATGGAGCGTGAGATGGATTGGTGATTTGGTGCAGACCATCGTGGTGAAGAGTGAGCTGAGCTGGAAGGCAAAGCTTTGGATTTATTGGCCCAACAACGTCCCAACCCTTAGCTATGGTCATGAGCTCTTTGTAATGACCGAAAGAATGAGATTGCGGATACAAGCAGCAGAAATGGGTCACTTAGAAGTGTGGCTGAGGGAGCTCGGAGTAGAGCCGCTGCTCCTTGGAGTCGAAAGGGTCGGTTGAGGTGGTACGGGCATCTGGTCAGGATGCCTCCTGGGCCCCTCCCGTTATAGGTGTTTCGGGCACGTCACACTGGTAGGAGACCCCGAGGCAGACCCAGAACACACTGGAGGGACTACATATTCTTCCATGAGTAGATGCACACTTCCTTCTGCACAATAATACAGTTGGCAGGTGTAGTTCATTAGAAAGAAAATAGTTCCTACATGAAACTGCTCGCAGTAAGGTCTGTGGATTATCTTGAGTAACCAGGTCATGATTTCTGGGAAGAGACATTGATGTTGAGTTTTTCAAATGCATATTTTGGCGCTTTGAGCGCACAAGCTGAGTGCCATCTAGTTCCATTACATTGGAACTATAGGAAGAGGAAAAAATATATATTTTTGATTTTAGAGTGAACTGTCCCTTTAAGATATCATTACACCACAGTTGTTCTGGATGCGGTTTCCCCTCATTCAATAGCCAGTATTAACAAAAGACAGAATAAGTCAGATCACTTCAACTGAATCAAGAAAATGGCTCTTTATCTTTACATATACCTTCATCATCAGCAGCCTCCTGTGTTTTTATCCCAATCACCATTGTTATGCTTCTTGAAATTTGGCTATATATCCACATCCATTCATTACACCAACAGTAATGACGTTCATTATGATAATCCTGCTTTATGTTTTATTCATTTCTCACCTTTATTTATAGACAAAGCGAGCATGCAAATTGCGGTCCTCTTAAAGCAGAGTCCTTTGAAATGATAACAGATCCAGGTCTAGGCTTAAAAGCTCCCGGACTATTATACATGTGTGCATTATAATACCATTTATAATGCTTAAACGTCCTTTGACTTTTATCTCACCTTTTGTTGATATCATAGTGAATTCATTTGATCTCATTTCCCCTTCTGTTGTCAATGTGTTGTTAATGCCAAAACTTTGTACTCATAAATCATAACATTGGGAGCTGATATTGCTGTGATTGTACAGAAGTGAGGAAACATATATTTCTTAGACACTTTCTCAGTGACTGATGAGTTAGGAAAGCTTTTTGGTCTGGCAAATATGAGACAAAGCCTCCTGATCTCTTCAAGCTCACTAAACAGCATCACCAAACAGGACTTGTTGTGCATTTGACGCGCTAATTAATGTGCTTGCGTAATCCATCGGCTGCTTTGACCACAGAGGCTGAGGGCTTGGGGGAAGCAGGATGAGCAGGATGAATGTTCTGCCCTTACTGAAACGTAAACAGAAATCACAATACGCTATACCACACTACCTAAAGCATATACTAATGCTGTGTCGACATCAGGCTAAAAATCCTGCCTCGTTTCTTCACCAAATGCTCAGGATGGAATGCTCACTATTCTTCAGTAGAGAATACAGCATAACACCAAATGAGACCCTTGCAGCACCCATTATTTCAGCTATTCAGTGAAGCCATTCATTGCACACAGAGGTATTCAGGCCTTGGTGTGATTGTTGGGTTTTATTATGGATTTATTTCTTGCCCCTCGTTTTTTTTTTTGGCTTCATTCTTAAGGTTATTTTTCCGTTGTGTGACTCATCCTGTATTCAAATCTCAACCTGTGTTAGTATTGTCCTTGCATTGTGGGTGTATGCCACTATACCCATTATTTAAACCACTTTCCAGTTTTCTATACCTATTATGTTAAATATTCATACTCTGAGTCACTTAATCCATCATGTAGTTATAAAATATTTATCCTGCTGCCATACACAATATAAAAATAATGAACATAATCACAGTGACGTCATCCATTGGTTTGTAGACTCCTGTTCTAAAGCCTTGACTTGATGATCCAAGAAAAATCCAAGATGATGATGGCATTATTTCTGTAGTAAAGTTGTGCATTTTAAAATGGGCTTCTATGTAGATCAACTTTTGGAGCCAGCTTGAAGTGGCCAGTTGAGGAACTGCAGTTTATGGCACTTTCGCATTGGCTTTCCTTTTCAGCCTTGAAGCCTAGACAGGATGTAGCTCTCTCTGCTTCTATTGTGGGACCAGGAGGTTTACAAATACTGTTCATTGTAGCATTGGGGGACAAATTCCATATTTTCACTGCATGTTACGGCTCGACTAAACTCAAATTTGGAACCAGGTCTCTTTTTCTTTATTTTGTTTTCCGCTGCAGACAGTAGACCTCAGTGTTGGGAGGATTCTCAGCCAATTGCCATAGTGACGTCACATCAAACTGCCATGACATCATCTTCAAGGCAACACTTGCTGAATCTTTTATCGGCAACTAACAGAGTAATGTCCGCACTTCATCAATTAAAGAGTGTAGTGTACGTAGTAGGGGTGTAATGATACATAGACCTGAACTGGTATATTGATCCACTGATCAGCGATCTATTATTGTTGATGCAAACTCAAAACATCGATACATATTGTCATCTTTAAGATAAGCCTTGATTTTGACAATTCCATGGCATGTCTCTGTCACCATTTCCATTCAAGCACACTCCCATCCTAAACATTCAAACAGTGTTAGCAGCCTATTGTCAGACAGCCAATGGCAAGCAGCCAGGAAAAAGACAATGACCATATTGACATGCTAGGGCTGCATGATGTTGGAAAAAACTGACATTGCGATATTTATTTTTTCGCAATGTATATTGCAGTGTTAAAAAAATACAAGAATTCTCACCAGATGACTTGAGTAGCTCTATTTGGAAAGAATTAGGTTGATCCACACAAGTGGAATTAACACAAGTGACAGAATAGACGTTATTTAACACTTTATTTTAAGTAGTAAACATCTTTTAAACAAAAATCTACAAATAAAAGAGCAGCTGCATCAGCCCCCTGAGTGGTTCACAAAAATCCAACAATGAAATAAAAATCTCTTTGTAAAACAGCAGCAAAGTAGTAAACATATTTTAAACAAAAATATGAAAAATAAAAATAAGAGCAGCTGTATCAGCGTACCATCGTGTAGTGTGTCATGTCCGTCGGCCAAGTCACAGCACGATTTTATGACTCCACAGTCATGTAATGTGACATAGTGACTTTCAGAACGGGCAGAAAAGTCACGTAGTGTGTACCAGGCATAAATCCTCCTTTACCGTTTCTCCCTCCTTCATGTTGCTCGTTTTCAGCATGTGACTGCAGCGTGTGCATGAGAGGGGGAGGGGCTGCTGCATGCTCAGAGAGGCGAGAGACAGAGAGAGAGAGGCGTGCGGAGCGCAGCAACGAGCAGAGCTTCAGAGCTGCTTTTCTGAAGCAAAACAAAATTTTACATGTTCTAAAAAAAGAGAAAACATCGCATGTCCTGCGATGTGACTATCGTCCATGCGCACATCGCGATGACAATGTTTAAATGATGCATCGTGCAGCCCTAACTGATGCCGTCTCATCAATTACAGGCCCCTGAATTGAAAACATACATTGACAGACTTTGTGATGTCAGCAAATATCAAATCTACTGGAAAGTCAGTTTGTAAGAACTGGTGGACCAGGTGAGAGCCAACACTTTGCGTAAAATAATAGTCTTTACTGGTCAAAAGGTAGGTTCAATACACAGAAGAACGATCTGTGAAGGCAAACAAATCCACTAGGGATGAGGCAGAGGCAGAGCCAACAGTCTAGATCCCCCCAAAAAACAAGAAAAGGACACGGATAAACAAAAGACTTGAATGCTAGACACACAAGGAGCAAAGACAAACGAGACACAGGTGAGGCTAATCAGGGCGGGACAGACAATCAGACACAGGTGAGGTCATCAAAAGGGAGGGAAAACACACAGGGGCAGGAAGTGAAGTGAGTTTCAAAGTAAAACAGAAAACAACTTGAATGAATGAAATAAAAAACACAACCTAAGAAACTTGTCCAATACTTCAGTTTATTACAAGATGCCTCTAAAAATCATCCTCAGCTGGTCTTTGAGAATTATCCTGACTGTGCAGTGCAGCTGTCGCCTGTTTCTTCTTTAATGTTACCCGGCCATGTGCAATACCTACTGACAGGCACAGGTTGCAACTCATCATGCATACTAATGATATTATTCTCAGCTCATAGAGTCGACTAAATGTTCTCAGCCTCTTGTAATAGAAACCTTATGTATATATGCATGTAGTGATTTTATGGTCACCTGACTTGAAACTCACGCACATTTGTATTTACAATGAGACCCCACATCAATTCTGTTCTTCTGTTTGGTCCACAGAGAGCACTGCTGGAGCAGAGGCAGCGGAGGAAGCGTCAGGAACCTCTCATGGTTCAGCCCAACACAGACGCTCGGCCCCGGCGCTACAGGACACGACGCGGTGAAGAGCAGGCCCCTCTAGTGGAGTCTCAAGTGAACGTCACCAACAATGTCATTATGGATGGTAAAATAAAACATAACAGTCACCTGTTTTTTAAGATCATGTAAAACCACTTTTACTCTTCGCAAAACAGAAGGCACTGACACAAATCATGACTCTGTTTAAGGCTCTCACTCAGCAACACCCCAGGCAAATCTTTAGCTAATTAAAGTAGCGTAGCTTTTCAGCAAGTGTGATGACTCAAATTCAGCAGAACTCAAACATTTCTGTGAATTACCACAACATGAGAACATCAACAGCTAAGCTAACATCTGCCTGTTCTCCCCTGCTGTAGGTATCGACGGCCCAGCAGCTTTCCTGGGCTCAGAAGCCCCTGATGTGGGAATAAAGGTCCTGTCGGTGAGCCAGTCTCAGTCCCAGCCTCAGTTCCAGTCACAGCCTCAGTCTCAGCCCCAGTCCCCCTCTGCTGAGGAGCCTGAGAGAGATGGAGACACTGAGACGCTGCTCGAGCCCAAGACAGACATCCACGAATTACTGCAGAAACAAGGTGAGTCCTGGCTTGTTGTTTCTAGCCAACACTCCCTTAAGTTTCATTCTCACTGAGAGTATGTTGAGTCATAGGAAATTACAGTTTATGGCTTAAATATCTTTTTAATTTACTTCATAAAGATTAGTTAGGCTCTAATTTTTCTGTTAAACACTTATCCACGAAGCCCATTGTTTGACTTTAATCCTGTGTTAAGGGAAGACTTGGTAGATCCAGAGCAAACACTCCTTCCTTTATTGAATTGGAGGGAATATTTATCACAAAACCTCATAAAATTGCTTATCATCTTAATAACTATTTTGTCAATAAAGTTGAAATTTAAGACAGAAAATGAACACTTTAAACTGCACAATACTAGAAGACTTAATCAATAAATGTATCATGATAAACAAAACCTGTAAATTTAGTTTCAAACCAGTAGTAGCTGAGGATGTGAGAAAAATGTTGGCCTCAGTAAAAGATGACATACAGTTTGGGATGGATAATCTTGATGGTAAATTAATTAAATTAATAGCAGACTACATTGCTGAACCCGTATGTCATGTTTAACCTGAGCCTTAAACAGAATGTATTTCCTCATGCTTGGAAAGTTGCTAAAATTATTCCCATACCAAATAATAATAGAAGTCCCTTCAGCAAGGAGAATAGTAGACCAATTAGTATTCTTCCCGTTTTAAGTAAACTTGTAGAAAAAATTGTGTTTGATCAAATCATGAATTATTTTTCCATTAATGACCTTGGTTCTGAGTTTCAACACGCCTATAAAGTGAATCACTCCACCTGCACAGCTCTAACACAAATGACGGACAACTGGTTGTGTCAAATAGATAACAAAAATCTTGTTGGTGCTGTTTTACTTGACTTCAGTGCAGCATTTGATGTGATCAATCATGATCTATTATTGAAAAAACTTTTCGTTTATTGTTTTAGTGTAAATGCTGTTGACTGGCTAAGGAGCTACTTAAATGACAGATCACAATGTGTCTGTCTGTCTTAATGGCTGTCTCTCTGTTAAAAAAGGTTAGAGTGGGGTGTTCCTCAAGGAAGTTGCCTTGGGCCACTCCTTTTCTCCATTTTTACTAATGATTTGCCTTTGGTGTTAAAAGAATCAACCATGACAATGTTTGCTGATGATTGCACATTATATAGACCCTCCAATAGCCTGACTGAGCTTAATGAAACCTTACAGAGAGAGCTTGATTGCTTATCAACTTGGGTAGAAAATAACAAATTAGTACTAAATATTATAAAAACTAAATGTATCATCTTTGGATCTAACTATGCATTGAAAAAAGGGCCGTCTCTTTCTCTCACAATGAAAGGTATAACCCTTGAGCAAGTCAAAAATGTAAAACTGCTTGGTGTCACCCTGGATGAACGGCTCTCCTGGTCTTGTCACATCGATAAAATCATCACTAAAATGGGTAGTGCAATGTCATCTATCAGGAGATGTACTGTAGGTATTTCATGACTGATCATTCAATCAATATTGTAATAAAATCACTAGTTTTGTCTCATTTGGATTATTGTTCTGTTGTATGGTCTAGTGCAACCACTAAAGATCTTCTTAAGTTGCAACTTGCACAAAACAAAGCAGCACGTTTAGCTCTTCATTGTTCACCCAGGACTAGGGTTGACAGCATGAATGATGCTCTTGTCTGGCTTAGAGTGGGGGATAGATTGATGTGCAGTCTTCTCATGTTTTTTAGGAATATCTTGTTTCAAGCTACACCTAAGGAATTTCATGCTAAGACAAGCAACACAACATCACGTAGTGGTTCCAGCACCCAAAACCAGTGCAATCCAGAAAACTGTTTTTTACAGAGCCTCCTCTCAGTGGAACTCACTGCCCGATTCACTAAAAAAAATCTCCAATAAAGTAAGGTTCAAAATATGTCTTAAAAAATGGTTTGCTTCGAGTGAATGGGATCAACACTGATATGACTGTAAGAGTTCACTTTTATTATTGTATCACTGGCATTGATGGTTGATCGAAAAAAATAAAATAAAGTCAAATATAAGAGTCAGTTTGTTGTCATGAGTGAGCATGTCTGCTTCATTATTTGCCTTTATTGCTGAAGCTGTGGAGTCCCAAGATGCTGTTATAATCCACTCTGTGTTAATGCCGTTGTTCTAAATCACTCCAGATTAGCTGCTGTTGTTAAGCAAAGCCAGAGTATTTGACATCCTGTGGGGAAGCAAAGGAGTTCATGTAACTTGTCTTTGTTATGAGTGATGGAAGCGTGAGGTGGACAATGCGGTTTGGTGTGGTGTCAGCCTTTGTGGTGAAGAAGGAGCTGAGCCAGAAGGCAAAGCTCTGAGCTCTGGGTAGTGACCAAAAGAACGAGATCGCAGGTACATGTGGCCAAAATGAGTTTCCTCTGTAGCGTGGCTGGGCTGAGCTTCAGAGATAGGGTGAGGATTTTGGACATCCTGCTGCTCCTTTGCGTCAAAAGGGGCCAGTTGAGGTGGTTCGGGCGTCTGATCAGGATGCCTCCTGGGCTCCTCCTGTTAGAGGTTTTCCAGGCACCTCCAACTGATAGGAGGCCCCGGGGCAGACCCAGAACACGCTGGAGGGATTATATATCTCAACTGGCCTGAGAACATGTCAGGATCCCCCAGGAGGAGCTGGAAAACATTGCTGGGAAGACAGATGCCTGGAATACTTTGCCCCAGCCCCAGATAAGCAGACAAAAAAGAATGGATGTATAAAATGTTAAGAACTCTGCTGCTGCAGTATGGAACAGGGATGCAGTCATTGGTGTGATTGATGGTGATGCAGTGAGAAATGGGTCATTTAATAATAGGCCGGGCATTGTTCACACTGCAGTGCTCATCTGTGGCATCATTACAGTCACTGCCACCCACACTCACCAGCCAGCTGGCAGGGATTTGTAAAGTTTATGGAAGATGTATTAAAACCATCGCCCCGAGTGGGCTGTGTACTTTCTTGATCCACCTGCTACTGTGGAGCAAATACAAAGTTCCTCCATCCTTAAAACATTTTACTGAAAGCAATAACTTTTGAAGCAACTCCACAAGTGTGATAATGCTGCAAAGCCAGAACAAAAGCTGCTCTCGTTATCATATCCTTTTCCTGGGCTGTAGCGTGACGTCATGCCACAGTGGCAAATGTCATCGTCCTTCTCAATAATGCAAGGCCTCATTGTTAATGTCAGCCTGGTTTAGCATTGGAATATGTCCTCAGGACTTCCAGCAGGTATTTTTGGCTCCCTGTCCTCGTGTAACATCCCAACCTGATAGGAGGCAGAAGAAACAGGAAATTTTGGGGCATTAATATTTGATCAGCTCATTCAATCAACATCTGTATCTGTGACTTGCTTTAAAATGGAACATTGTCGACCTGCTGTGTGTTGATTATTACGTCTGTTCTGGTTTTGTTTAGTAGGTTGTTGGTCGGCCTGTTATGAGTCCTCTCTGACATTTCCAGATGGTTGATTTCATAAGCCACTGGCTCACACAACTTTGTTCAGTGCTCTAATTGGAGCCCTGGAGTCACTATTAGAGGGAACATTTGCAGTCTGTATTTCACGATGGTGCTTGCTTTCTCTCGGGGATCACTGCACATCCTGGGTTGATCTCCTGTAAATATCCCCGTATAAATATTGTGTTTGGCTGTGTTGTCTGTCGCATTATTATTCTTGTTCAATACTGCAGAGCTCTCCCAGTCCTCTGTACTCTCTAACCTGCTTAGGATGTGTTGGTGGGGGTGGAGGGAGGAAGCAGTGTGCCAGATAGAAAATGCTTTGTGTTTGTGGAAGTTGGGGTTGGCCCAAAATATCATCAGTTAGTCACTTCAGTGTTGAGGATTGGTTTACAGTAATTAGGAGGACTTGTGCAACATGTTCTATAATTTACATAAATCATGTTATTTTCATTCATTTCAATTAATTTAAGTTGGATTTTAAAGGGACAGTTCATCCAGTAGTGCTCTTCATCAATTAAGATTGTTTTCATGTGAGTTGCAGAGTGTTAGAGATATCACTTGTAGAGATGTCTGCCTTCTCTTGAATATAATGGAACTAGACGACACGCATGTTGTGGTGCTCAAAGCGCCAAAATATACATTTGAAAAACTCAACATCAATGTCTCTTTCCAGAAATCATGACCTGGTTACTCAAGATAATCCACAGACCTTGTTCTGAGCAGTTTCATGTAGGAACAATTTTCTTTCTACTGAACTACACCTGCTAATTGTATCACTGCTCAGAAGGAAGTGTGCATCTACTCATGGACAAGATGCTCCTGCTCAAGACAGGACGAGATGAAAACATTAATGGCGTCCTCCTCGGCTGAGCTGTGACGTTAGCTAGCTCGGTGGTGCTAGGTGAGCTAGCAGTAGATGCACACTTCCTTCTGCACTCTGATATGGTCGGTGGGTGTAGTTTAGTAATGCTTTGTATTTTTCATGGCCAGCAATCAGTTTCTTCTTCACACACTTATTTATGTGCTGTTAGTTGACGCTGCAAATGTTTTGTCCGTCCCTTCGCTCTCATTGAATAGAAATGAATGGCAAATATTAGGGATGTGTGACCATGCCTTAACACTGCAAAGCTGTCAGGAAACACACTGCTTACTGAGATCTTTCCATACCACTGGACCACTGTCACCCTCTGACAGCACATTAAAGTGGACTCTAGCTGCAGCCATGAGTCGCGTCCTGGCTGATAAATCCAATTATCAGTGAAGAGACAGATGTCTCAAGCAGTCTAGACCGGCTGCAGTGAGCCATGCCCATTTTACATCTGCATGACTGCATGGAGCTGTCTCTTCACAAGCGTCAGCCTCATCTCTTCACATTAATCTCACCCTGGCAAAAGCTGACTTCGAAAAAGAAGCATTGTTTGTGACAGGTATTGAGGCCATGTACCCAGTGTGACCTTTGCAGTTGGGTGAGCACTGAGCAGAGCTTAACTGAGTTTTTGTTGTGTTTGATAGAAAGCAGTCTGGAGATAGCTCAGTCAGATTTGCAAGGCTTTATCCATTTAACTCTTTTGTTGTGAAAAGATGAAATAAGTCGCCCCTGTTTGATAGAAATACCCTGCTGAATATTTCTGAGAAATATAAGTGTATGATTTCAACTGTATGATGCACAATTTTGCTTCAGCCATTGCCGAAGTATTGCATCATTCTTTTCAAGGATATTTTTGTTTATTTTGATAGTGAGAGAAGGAAAGGCAGGGGAAAGAGAGGAGTGACACGCAGCAAAGAAAAAAAGATTTAGTGATCTTTGTATGTGAACAAAAAGCCAAAACTTTGAGGAAAATATCTGTTTTCAAAAATACCTAAATAAGTGTAGACAGGGCCTTAACTTTCTTTTCTGCCAGGTGTGAGTTTGTGTGTCTGATGTCCTTAATGTAGCATTAAACCTCTCCCACACCCTTGCCCCATCTCCTCGGCAGGTCTGTCCGGCAGCATGAACTTTGATGAATCCAGCGAGCATGAGGACGATGCGGAGGAGGAGCGAACGCGTTCTCTGACCCCAAACGCCGACAGCACCAGACCTGCCTCTGCTGCCAGTGGCAAGGACACTCCAGTGAGTAGCCCAATAAACACACTCACCAACAAGCTTCCAGCATAGACTACATAATCCCAGCCTTGATACTGAACATTGTGTAAAAAGGTTCATGCACTGTGTTGTTCCCAGGAGGTGGTCACCCCTGGATCACCCACAGCAGAGAGCTCACTCATCGATGTAGCCAATCTAGAGGAGTTCGTCCTGCGTCCGGCTCCACGGGGGGTCACCGTAAAGTGTCGAATCACCCGGGACAAGAAGGGCATGGACCGCGGCCTCTACCCAACCTACTTCATGCACATGGAGAGAGAGGATGGCAGGAGAGTGAGTGTGGGCCATGGGTACATTCATAAAGACAAAGCCAGACATTTTTTGGTTCCAGGTTCTCAAGTTTGTGGATTTGATGCTTTTCTTTGTCATATATTAAAGTAGATTGTACATCTTCAGGTTTTGCACTATTGGTTAGTTAAACCAGGGCTTTGGGAAATTCCTGACTGAACTTTTGTCAGATGTCACTGCAGCAAATATCATGGGACATTAAAACAGCAAAACTAAACTGCAGCTATAAACTTGACAGGAAGCAGAACTAAACTTTTAGCTCCTGATATAATCAATGACGTTACACTGCTCCTCGCGCGTTACTTCACACAGCGTCTGTCTTAATGGGGACACACTCGCTCAATGAAAAGTGAAGCTGTAATTTGTGGGCCTACTGAGATTTCAGAACAGCAGACCTTTTATTCATGAAAACAAAAAGCAAAATGTCTGATCAGTGTCATTGCTTTGTATTTCTCCCGTAGAACAAACAGTGGCTGAGCTTTAAATGCCAGGAAAGTACTGCTCCATGCTGACATTTGACTCGGTTTTTGTTGGTCAATGACGCAGTCTCTTTCTGCTGCCTCAAAATAGCTATACGTCAACAATGTGCCTGACCACACCTTAGTGTAAGACTAACATGCCCTTTCTCATGGGCATGTTCTCATGATTACATGATTACATATATATTTTTCTGCCCCTCTCTCCAGGTGTTTTTGCTGGCAGGAAGGAAGAGAAAAAAGAGTAAGACGTCCAACTATCTTATTTCAGTGGATGCCACTGATCTGTCGCGAGAGGGAGAGAGCTTCATCGGTAAACTGAGGTAAAAACACACTTTCTCTTCGATCTACCTGTGTCCATGGAGGACTACATTATCACTGTCATTTGTTGAAAGCCTAACTGAATATACATCTTAAAGGGTCAAACAGAAATCTGCCTAAAACCCTCCTTGTTGTGTTGAGGCTATGATCAGTAGCTGCATTAGCCAGCACTTACAAGCAAATTTTATCAGCTTTTAGACTCTAAGCAGCAACTGAGTAATTGCTGTTATTAATCTGTGCACAGTGTATGAAATGATACCTTTTAGTGTTTATGTTTGGTTGGTTTGAAGATAACCAAGCACAGTGCTTTTGCCTTTCCCACTCCACATGACTCAGCTGGTGAAAATGCTGCCAGCAGTTGACACATGAAATGATGTTAACGTTCCATCTCTGGTGTGTATTCTAACAGGTCCAACCTCATGGGCACCAAATTCACAGTGTATGACAACGGCACCAATCCCTGTAAAAACCCCGGGACGCTGCTGGAAGAGAGCAACACGCGACAGGAAGTGGCTGCTATCTGTTATGTGAGTGACTGATGTTGCACACAAGTGTTTGCTGCATGTCCCCGTTCATTCATGTGTTCATTCTGTGTGAAACTGTCACACTGTCTGTGCCCTTTGGCAGGAAACCAACGTGCTTGGATTCAAAGGACCACGCAAGATGACCGTAATCATCCCGGGCATGAACATGAACTTTGAAAGAGTCCCTGTCAGACCTCAGAATGTGAGTCTGATCATCCTAGAATCATTTATTCAGAGTGGGAGCATCAGCTGAACGAGTCAAACTTGAACATGTTTGTTTTACAGGAGCAGGAGAGCCTCCTGAGCAGGTGGCAGAATCACTCACTGGACAACCTGATCGAGCTGCACAACAAAGCCCCTGTGTGGAACGACGACACCCAGTCGTATGTGCTGAATTTCCACGGGCGCGTCACTCAAGCGTCAGTCAAAAACTTTCAAATAGTTCACGACAACGACCGTAAGTATTCCCTACCTTTCACTGTTTGCACTCACATATTCTCTGCGCTGTTAAGGCTCACAGTAAAGACTGTTTCCTGTTACTCTAGCTGACTACATCGTCATGCAGTTCGGCAGAGTGGCTGAGGACATCTTCACTCTGGACTACAACTACCCCATGTGCGCTTTGCAGGCGTTTGCCATCGGCCTGTCAAGCTTTGACAGTAAGTTGGCCTGCGAATGAAACCACCGGTTTGGCTTCCACACCGCCACCTCTCCTGTCCTCCCTCAAATCTTTTCTCACTGGACTTTTTGGATGCTACACCGCTTACATCATCAGGAACCAGTTCACATTCCGTGTGTTTGCTCACGAAATGCAAGATTAAAAGAAGAGAAAGTAGATACTGATCGGAGACGTTGGTCCTCTGGTGGCAAAATAACAACCCTCTAGGTTCCTGGGTGGAAGGGTTTTTTTCCTGTGTCATTTAGGGGTTTATTTCAATATTATTTTGTACAGTGTATGTGTACAAACTAAAAGGGAAAAGACAAATCACACCACTCTCATCTGTGCTGGAGACAGGCGCTCTCATCAGACATCTGGTGCAAGAAAACTGATGTAAAATTTATGACTCATTGTTTGTTAAAGGAACAGTTCACCCCAAAATCAAAAATACACACTTTGCCTCTTACCTGTAGTGCTATTTATCAGTTTGTCTTGGCATGAGATGAGTGTTGCAGATATCAGCCGTAAAGATGTCTGCCTTCTCTCCAATATAATGGAACTAGATGGCACTCAGCTTGTGGTGCTCAAAGCGCCAAAAAAAAAAAATCCATTTGAAAAACTCAACATCAATGTCTCTTTCCAGAAATCATGACCTGGTTACTCAAGATAATCCACAGACCTTGTTGTGAGCAGTTTCATGTAGGAACTGTTTTCTCTCTACCAAACTACACCTGCCAACCATATCACTGCACAGAAGGAAGCGTGCATCTACTCATGGATGAGAGGCTCGTGCTTGTGACAGGGCTAGATGTAAACATTAATGCCTCAGCTGAGCTGTAACGTTAGCTATCTCAGTGGTGCTAGGTGAGCTAGCAGTAGATGCACTCTTCCTTCTGCACCATGATGCAGCTCATACAAAACAGAGAAAAGAGATTTGTCCGAAAATTGACCATTTGTCGGGTGAGGGCACGGTTGTCGTTACAAATAACCTCATCCTCCAGACCTCATCATGTTACTAACGTTACACAGCGAGCCGATGAAAGCGTACAAGCGTCTAGTGACTATAGCTGTTTTGTGTGCAGTTGGGTTCACGACTGATATGGCTGCTGTCTTGTTTTAGGCCGGTGAGTAGATGAGCTTGAGTGCATCCGTCTTTTATATTTCAACTCTGTGTATGGCTGCACCGCTGCCAGGTTAACATTACGAGGTAACATAAGCTAACTCAAGTTAACTGCCATGTCAACTTTTCCCAGAGGTCTTTTGAAACGCTGTTAAAAATCTGGGTTGTAACTAAAACATGGAGACGTTGGCGCAGCATGTTGTAATTGCATCCAACTTAAACATTAACGTTTTACATTAGTTGACTCTGCTTCTGCAGACTGAAGACGGAGATATTTGATCTACATTTGACACTTTCACAGTGATTTATTTCTTATTTCTACCCTTCACATCCTTCTACTTTGGGGACTTAAAGGGGCCTTTTTTTCCAATTCAGTGGACTGAAACAGGCATTTGTACAGTGCTGTGATGTCATATCCTCCTGAGACCCTGTGTCCTCATATAAGGACATCACATTTTGGGTTTACTTGACCTTATACTTTATTCTACTTATCTTAGACCTGTTGTCCTTGTCCATGGACACTTTTTGTGCCATCTAGTGGCAGTAAGAGCACAATACACTAATCCATGTAAAAACAAGATGGCAGCCATCTCTGCCAAGTCAGTCTGCAGCCCGAAAAGTGGAAAAGGTCCAAAACCTGATCACTTTTTATGGTTGAAACTTGTTTATTCATGATTAGTAACATTTGTAGTTTGATATGGCAACAAATTTGACCAATTTTAGCAACAGCAACTAGCTAAGAGACGTTTATTATTTAGTACTCATTCGAGGACATTGGGACTTTTTTATCATTGACAGTGTTTAGTTTTTTTATACTTATCCGGTCCTACTGATCCCAAATAGCTAGCAGACATTAAAAATGTAAACCAAACAATAGTTCAGGTGTCTGAAGGTTATATAGCCAATATTTCTAACACTCTGCAACTCACACCAAAACAATCTACATTGAAAAAACAACAAAAAAAACACTCCAGGTAAGAGGAAAACTGGGCTTGATTTTGGGGTGAACTGTCCCTTTAATGATGCATTTTGTATTAATTCTTTTGCCTGTACATTTTATTTCTGTCAGTGTTTTTGTTTTGTTTTGCCTTACTCAGAGGAGTGGACCAAAGGATGTAGGTGTCCACGACGCCACAGTCTGAACCCTCCACTACATGGCCTGTCCTCTGGCGCCACCCTCAGGCCAATCTGTAGAGTTAGTATTTGGTCAGAAGGGACAAAGAAAGTTGTTTTCTGTTTATCATCTGTCCAAGAGTCTCTTTTTGATAAGTAACTGGCATCACAGTCACAATTTCAGTCATGTTTATATCTTTAAATGTGGTGACATGATTTACTCTGCCATCTTCTCTTAACTAATGTTGACATCATCCTTTTATTATCATTTCGTCATCCCTCTTTTTATTCTAGTGTGGAACGTGCATTATTCCGAACAGGCCTGTCTTAACGCTTTTTGTGGGGTTTTTGTGAATAAGTGTAATTTTTATCTTGTGACTGTGATTTTTCTTTGTTGTAACAGGTTGGGTTATCATGGGAAAAAAACATAAATGCAGAATTGCACATTGAGAGAGAAAGGATTTACATACTGTATATAAAATACAAGATCATGCCTTCTTATTTGATCTATTCTAGCGTACATATAGCGACATGAAATACAAAATGTCATTTCAAGACATGGGATTTTAAAATAATGGATAGAAGTGAAGCATGAAGATACAGAAACCTTCCCAGACTTTGCAGAAATCTACTGTATTTACGCTTCATATTCAATAGACATTTTATTGAGCTGATATTCCCACATTTTGTCAAAGCTTCAACAACAAAACTGCCGGTGCCTCTTCATCTCCATCTCATCCCTTTTGAGTTATAAGGGAAACTTAAGGGAAATCAACAAAGGACAGTAATCATTTGTCATTAAATGTCCCTAATATTTTGTTAACACAGTGTACTGTATGTCTGTGAGGGGCAGGGTCATTATTGCTGCAGAGCCAACAGTAAATAATTCAGTTACTTTAAAGGTATACTATGCGTGATTATCAGTCAAATCAAACCCCACATTCACTCTCGTTTGGCGTTTCGGCTTAAGCCCCATTACCACAACACACTTCCAGTATGGTACCTTTGGAACCAACAGTAACCCTTCTGACATGGTACCTAGACCCTAGTGTTTCCACCGCTAACAGTACTCTTAAATGTGGGCGGGGTTGTTGTCACTCACTGCTCCGTCCAATGATTCAAAGGGATAACTTTTATATAAATTCATACATTGTTTTTTAGGGAAATCCCGCATAGTATACCTTTAAATCAATTTAATTTGGATGCTTTAAAGAAAAGGTGTTCAGTGCTTTTCTGCTTGAATTGGGCGTTTCCTGCTCAAAACATGAAAACAAGCAGGAAAGAATACCTAATTTTGAGGAAAGTAATACATTTGTCATTGTAAATGTGCCAGCAATGTATGAAAATCCTGTTTTGTCATTCTGTGTGGAGTTTGCAGAGAGAAAAGGGAATTTATAGGAAATATTTTCAAAGATATACGCTTTTACTACTTCGGTTAAACACATTCCAGTCCAACATTTGACAAACATATAACCAGATATATTTTAACAAAGGACGATCAAACCTGTTTATCAGGTTTAAACATCAAGAGATGAATGTATTCAGTCAAACAGTTTATTTTCATAAACACAGCAGAGGTCAATTTGATTCAGAACACTTTAAAAGACAAATAGAAGTACTTATTTCCATTCATGTGAAAGGTTTGACTTACCAAAATAAAAGACATTTTGAACTTTTTTGAACTGTCTCCTCTCAGAACTTCATTGTTGTTAATAGAAGTTCATGGCACATAACTAACTGCACACACTGACACACAAACTGCAGGTGATAACATTTGATGATCTTATAACTCAACACTCTGAACAACCAGCATCACCGAACTCGTCTGCTTCCTCAGATCTCAACCTCCTTGGGCAGATCTTTGTACTTGATGAGGTAGTACGGGTAGCACTGACAGCTGTCAAACACGACAAATATCGTGGGTTTGTCCACGTTGTCCACGCAGCTGTCGTAGAGACAGAATTTCCTCGTCGTGGAGTACAGCGGCGGCGGCCGGTGGTAGTTGTGCCTCCCGAGACAAACCTTCCCCACCAGGACTTTGGCCAGGAACATGTGACGAACCTCATCTGACGCCACCACGGCCGAGAAGGTGTGGGAGAAGGAGGCGGTGCTGGCGAAGTAGGAGCCGACGCCGTGGGATGTTCCGTTGACCCCGGCCACGCGGGGGTCGAAGTTGTTGTAGCAGATGTCCTCTGAGGCCTTTTTGGTCGTCCCGTGGAAGAGATGTCTCTCCAGAGGATTCTTCAAGTCAGCGTGCTGCTTCTGCATGAACGCCTTCTGCCTGTCATGACACGCACGCACAAGTATTTTAATGTGTTTTAGAATATTTTCACCACTCTATTTTGCCGTCAGACTTTCCAACAGGCAACTGAAGCTGTTATTTACGAACCTTTGGTATTTGTCCCAGTGGAGGAGGCTCTGGACCTGCTGGATGCTGACGATGTCCACCCTGGTCTCGGGCAGGCTCTCGCAGAACAGGTTCAGGAGACTGCGGTAAGCCTCTGTGCCTGCAGGAACATCCACCAGGCTGTAGTCCTCTGAGGTCACACTCCACACTGGAGGATACCAGGAGCTGAACTCCTTCAGAGGGTCCACGCTGAAGTTGGCTGCTGGAGGATCACTGTCGGGTTTGGTCTTGACCTCTGTCCTGGGTGTGGGGCGTACAGAGAGAAGAAGGACATTACGCTGGACAATAACTACTGAGTTGGTTTCAGCACCACCAATACAATTTTCTTTTAATTAAAATGTTAATGCTTCCAGAGAGATGGATACTGACTTCAGGTAAGGCTGCATGGAAACAGGGGAGCGGTAGACGGGCCTGCAGCGAACCTCTCTCTCGAACCCTGTGGTGACGTTGGTCTGCACCATGGAGGTGAAGTCCACCTTGTACTGCTGCGAGCCGATGGTGAGAGTACACTCCGGCTCCTTTTCATTCATATTCTGCAGTAGCACGGCTGATGCATCCTACAGAGAGATCTCAGTGAACAAGGAGCTTCTGAAACTGAACTGGGTGCAATGATAAGAAAAATTCAAAGACCGAAAAAAAAGTGGAGACGTTCACCTTGTTGTACTCTTCCCAGTCCATGCTGTTCCACCAGAAGAACTTCCATCTACTGGGAAAGTGAGGGTTTCTGATCAGACTGTCAGAGTTAGTGAGTCGTCTGACCTTGTCATACTTGGATATGTCGTCCACATCCATTGAGTCAAAGTTTAAAGTGTTGCAGACCGGCCTGAAGGGAGAGTTTGGCAAAACAGCACCTCAAGGTTACAATCCCATAATGAAATTTGAACACATTGTTATTCAAGCGGTCTGAGAGAAGACTCCTGCACCAACTCTTAGGTCTGCTTACAGGCTTTAGACAATCAAGCTCATGACGGGAGACTTACGCCAATGACAGGTCATTTCAGAGAGAGGCCATTCCTATTGGCTGTTCTACTGATGCAGATTTTTTTTTTTTTACAAAATGTAGTTTTCAGTTGCAAGTCAAAGCCACATGTGAGGTGTCACAAGCACTTCTATAAAAAACAGACTGTGATCAAAATAAAATGCAAAGATAGGGATTTTTGTCGCTGTTTTAAAATATACAGCTGCACAACATTTACATGAATAATGATATAAAATAAATAGCAGGGCTGCACATTAATGTTTTGCACATAGCAATGGAGCTACAGAGGTTTAAAGGTTTGCAGCACAGGACACAAAACTGTAACATGAGTAAAAAGGTATCAAGTGGGTTTGGGAACAACTTAACACCTTAGTGGGGGGAGTTAAAAAGTTTTTTTTTTTTCTGATCTGTCAGCCTTTCAAATGAATCTAGTGCTGGAAAATGATTTAAATATTTTTATTTAATAAGGCTTATTAATCTTATGTGTTGTCGCTTCATTTTTTGCCTGCATCCAGGTGCTGTCTCCATGTCACACATTAGACCACAACTACCAAGAAGAACAGCGATGTGCTATGATTCACCTCACATACACACACTAGCAGCACAGCGCTGCATTGTACGTGTGCTACTGCGCTAACTTCATTCATCTCACAGACCGATTTAGCGTAGCTTGCGCAGTAGTATACAGACCAATGTGACACTGTAATTAATCTCTCAAGACAGATTCTGCAGTTTACACTGTAGAATCTGTCGGCAGCCCTGTGTGAAAGACGACTAGAGGGGGGGGCTTTGAGTTTGAACATGCTGCGCTTTAGCCAATCACAATGGAGAGGGCGTGGCCGAGACACGCAGGTGTCCCCAGGAAATGTGTACCTACAGAAACAGGAAGCTCTGCGTCCATAGCGACTGCTCCACCCAAAACGCCGTCTCGTCAACGTGAAAATGTTTTTTTTCCAGTGGATGTCTTAGTTACAACATGATTGAGCTAACTGGAGTAGTTTCATGTCGTGTCCGACAACGGGAAGCTTTTAACAGATGACGTCCTGATGTTAGCTTTGCTAACGGTCCCTGTCAGCTGCAGCCACTGATGCTTTCTAGACATCGTGATTTCCCATAACTGAATAAATACCACACATAGCAACACAAAACTGCTTTGCTAGCTCAATCGTGTTGTAACTAAGATATCCGCTGGAAAAAATATTTTATTCACGGACCGTTTAATGAGTTATTACCTTATGTTTATACAGTCTATGGTTATTACAGACACCGCTAACGGCTAACGTTAACAGCTAACGGTTAGCTCAGCTAATCTACGATAACCATGTTATTAATTACAAAACGTGCACACAGAACGTTTGTTCAATCATTGTGTTTATAGACTTAACAAACATCAGATTAGTCTACACGGTGATACAGTGACCTGAAAAATGTGATATATAGCTAAACTCTGCTGGTTTTCTATCCGAAGTATTTGTAAACAACATGGCGATTCCCTGGGGGCACCGCCGGAAGTTAAGGGCGTGAGCGATTGCCGAGGCCCCTGCACTTCCGTTAGTCGAAAAACTCCGGGCTGTGCCTCCAGAGGTAAAGGAAGAAAAAAAAGTTTGTTTTTTTTTTTTTTTTTTTTTTAACTGATGGATTTCCAGATTGCACTGTAATTAACAGACAGATTAAACAGAGGAGCAGCTCTGGGTCTTTCTGAGTGTTGATGGAGAACTTGTGAGTGAGTGAGCAGGACAGAGCTGTGCAGAGAGTGTGAGAGAGGAGAGATGAAACTGGTGCCTGCCTACGCCAGCTTTAACTTACTGTTGTCAACACAGAACAAGAAAACAAGAATTATTAGCCTCACTCACCCATCCTTGACACAAATGGCCTCTTGGTTGACATCGCAGTACAACTTCTCCATTAGGACCTGAGAGCGAAGGGGGATGTCGATCCACCGGTGGGTGACCACACTCCACAGCTGCCAGTGAAACGGGTAGGGAGTGTGGTGCATCTTACACTTCCTCCCTGCCTGACACAAACCCAGGAGGAAGTTGTCACAGATCTCGATGTTGGCGGAGCTCCTTGTGTGGAACAGGTTGGGGTCAGGCACTTTAGACGGGGCTTGCGGCATAGTGGGGGTGGCTGGTGGGGTCTGGATGGTGATTCTCTTGGTAGGGGTGCTGGGCTGAAAGGCAGGCTGTGGCTGGGTGATGGTGAGTGGCAGGGTAATGATGACGGAGGTGACTGGCGTAGGGGTTGGAGGCGTGTAGAGTAGTTGACCTGGAAGGCTTGGCGCTAACTGGGTGCTGTCTTGGGAAAGGGTGAGCACAACACAGGAGTTCTGGGAGGTGCTGTGCAGCTGAGTGATGGACTGGATGGCCAACTGAGGTTGCGGGATCCCAGAAAAAGGCACTGAGCTCTGTGTAGCGCTGGAAGTGTCTTCAGTTTGGCTGGAGTTTGTTCTCTTCCCCTGCTGAGAGGTCACAGGGGTGAAATGAACCATGGCGCTGTAGGGGTTGACGGTCCAGGCAACGTCAACCTGCTGGGATCTCATGGCCTCCCACACTGGGAAGCTGCTGTTGGTGTCAGAGGGGAGTTCCAGCAGGATAAGAGACGGGCTCAGGAAGGTGACTTTGGAAGATTTGGACTGGGGCTGTAAACCAACAGCATCGTCTGCCAACTTTCTCTTCGTCCCTCTGCTGGATGGAACGTATGGCATCCTGGATGGAGCTGCAACAATGAATTGATTAGTTGTAAATTATTAAAAGAATCCCAAACTAATTTAATTTTCAATATGAATTTGCAATATACTACTATACAATTCTATGCAAGATTGATTAGCACTGCCACATGGACATGGAAATACACTCACTGGCCACTTTATTAGGTACACCTTGCTAGTACCAGGTGGGACCCCTTTTGCCTTCAAAGGTGCCTTAATTCTTGGTGTCACAGATTCAACAAGGTGCTGGAAACATTCCTCAGAGATTTTGGTCCATATTGACATGACGACATCACACAGTTGCTGCAGATTTGTCGGCTGCACATCCATGATGTGAATCTCCCGTTCCACCACATCCCAAAGGTGCTCTATTGGACTGAGATCTGGTGACTGTGGAGGCCATTGGAGTACAGTGAACTCATTGTCATGTTCAAGAAACCAGTTTGAGATGATGTGAGCTTTGTGACATGGTGTGTTATCCTGCTGGAAGTAGCCATCAGAAGATGGGTACATTGTGGTCGTAAAGGGATGGACACGGTCAGCAACAATATTCAGGTAGGCTGTGGTGTTTAAACCATGCTCAGTTGGTACTAAGAAAATCTCCCCCACACCATTACACCACCACCACCAGCCTGAACCGTTGATACATGGCAGGATGGATCCATGACGCCAAATTCTGACCCTACCATCTGAATGTGGCAGCAGAAATCCAGACTCATCAGACCAGGCAATGTTTTTCCAATCTTCTATTGTCCAGTTTTGGTGAGCCTGTGTGAACTGTAGCCTCAGTTTCCTGTTGTTAGCTGACAGGAGTGGCACCTGGTGTGGTCTTCTGCTGCTGTAGCCCATCTGCTTCAAGGTTGGACGTGTTGTTGGTTCAGAGATGGTCTTCTGCAGACCTTGGTTGTAACCAGTGGTTATTTGACTTACTGTTGCCTTTCTATCATCTTGAACCAGTCTGGCCATTCTCCTCTGACCTGTGGCATCAACAAGGCATTTTGGCTCACTCACTGGATATTTTCTCTTTTTCGGACCATCCTCTGTAAACCCTAGAGATGGTTGTGTGTGAAAATGCTACAACAACCATGCCACATTGAAAGTCACTTAAATCACCTTTCTTCCTCATTCTGATGCTCAGTTTGAACTTCAGCAGGTCGTCTTGACTATGTCTACATGCCTGAATGCCTCTACTTGAATTAATAAGCAGTTGAACAAGTGTACCTAATAAAGTGGCCGGTGAGTGTTACACACATGGAGGTGATAAATTAAAATCCATTTCTTTACTCCTTTATGACAGTAAACTGAATATTACGGACAAAACGAGACATTTGAGGACACCTGGGAAACACTGGTAGATATTGTCCACCATTTTATGACTAATTTTTGACTAATTCATTAATTGAGAAAATAATTGATAATAATAATGCAGTCTGAACAATTCAGTTTTAGTAAATTAGCAAAAAGAACATGGTGTAGGCTCAGATTAAATTAGTATTTTCAATATGATTTGGTTTAGAATCAAACTTACAAAGAAAATAATATTTTTGTTGGTAACTGTGTTTTAATTTATGTTAATATAACTTTATCCAACCTCTAATTAACAACAAAAACTCAACTTTTTCACTGTTCTTGTGGATTTAAAACACATCATTAGCTGCTAGCTACAGGCACCGTTAGCATCGCGGCTATAACTAATTAGCTATTAGCTACATTCACTGTTAGCATCGCGGCTGTAACTAATTAGCTATTAGCTACATTCACTGTTAGCATCGCGGCTATAACTAATTAGCTATTAGCTACATTCACTGTTAGCATCGCGGCTAAAGCGATGCTAACAGTTAGCTAATTGAGCTACCGTTAATTAACGAGTCGGCTAATCTTACCGTGACACTGCTAAGGCCGTTAACGTTGATACTTGATGGGGAAAGGCAGCTTGAGACAAATTAACTGTACTCAGAAAGTTATGGAAGTAATTATTTTTTAACCATTTGTTCAGACAGGTAATACAAGCTAAATTTATCACTGGCACTTCCGTGTAACTTCGAGTGAAGAAGAAGAGGACTGATGTCGACGCCCCAGGCTGCACAGTGAGGTGGGAGGGGTGAGGCATTTACTGCTGTTAAAACACCAAGATTAAAAATAACAATAATAAAAAAAGGATCAGTTTATAGTGTTTTCACAGTAATAACACATTAACACACACAAACACATATTTGTTCATAAAGCACCTTTCAAAACACAGTTACAGTGCTGTACAATAAAACTAAACACAAGGAAAATAAAAACAAGCATGTCATTAAATGTCACCAAAGTAAAAGATAAAATAAGGAAGGCCAAAACTAAAATCAAAATAATAAATGAGAAATAACATCACACACAAAAAAACAGCTTTACATCACATGTAATATACCAGATTACATTTGATGTGTAATTACCAGTGTTTGGGAAAGTTACTTTTGAAATGTACTGGTAACAAATTATTAGTTACCCTGTTAAAAATGTAATTAGTAATGTTACTATTTTAATTATTTTATTAAATATATGGAACTAACTGATTACTTTTCTAACATTTGAAAAAACTTTAAAGTGCTTTCCAACGCACAAAAAATACAAAATAAAAGAGATACTAGTAAAACATAAGCATATACATACACCTACACCAACATATACACTTAACACATACTGTAAGCATGCACATGGCTGCATACATACAGTGCCATTCACACAATAAGTCTGTGTCAACTATGAGAAAAGGCCAATCTGAAAAAGTAAGTTTTCTTAGACCAGATTTAGGCCCAATCCCAATACCCCCCCTTGTCCACTACCCCTTGGCCCTCGAAATGAAGCAACAAGGGGTAGGGGTTGGAATCTTTCCCTAGGAATTGGGATACCACTCACTACGTCACCGCGTCGGTTACGTTCACGCATACGTAACTATTTTAAACAGGAAGCTGCGAGCCATCTACATTTCCAACCGGCATCTACAATGGAGTCTCCGGTTGAGTTCATCCTACCTATCGCGTTTGCTGTATTCATCATGCTTCGTTTGATGAACGACAGATGACAGGGGACTTCTGCTAGCTAGCTAGATAGCTAACCAGCTAACATTACAAGGCAGCATAGTTATACTAGCTGGCATGTTATCGTAATGTGAAAAATCCGACAATTTTGCAGAACAGGACAGATGACAGACGCCAGATAGTGCGAGCTAGCTAGCTAGCTAACAAGCAACCTGACGACGGCAACGTTAGCTATGTGTGAACTTTTTTCCCCGTCTCTTGCTTGGTGGTAGGCATGGCGACGTCTACCTCTCTTTGGCAAGTCAGCATTTGAAATCCCTCGCTCCAAAGGGCTAGTTTCATACCCACTACCCCTCGTTATGCCCCCTACCCCTACAAGCAAAAAGGAATTGGGACACCCCTACCCCTCGCGGGAATGCGCAAATCTAGGGGTAGGGCCATGGGGGGGGTATTGGGACAGGCCCTTAAAGACCTAAACAGAGTCAGCTGATCTGATGCCCAGCGGGAGGCTGTTCCAAAGCCGAGGAGCAAGAACTGAAACGGCTCCATCACCCTTTGTCTTTAACCTGGACTCTGGAGTAGGTAGAAGACCCAGACTGGCAGACCTGAGGGGCCTGTTTGAGAGCCTTGTATGTAAACTGGGCAATAAAGCAGAAAAATGTCTGAAAACAGACGACATTCTCCAACTGTGAATGCTGACTGTGCAAAATGCATTTTGTTTGTTCTGAAAATGTTTGGAGATGTTTAAAAAGAGAAAAAAAAAAAAAGAATATTTATGGAGCTAATTTTTGTGTATGGCCACATCCATTTTTTAGTATAAGATGCAATTTTTTCAGTGTTTAATTCTCTTTAATCTTTAGTTATTACGATCAAATTATCAGTATCACAGCTGTCAAATGTTTGACATTGCAGTGTGGAGTCTTTCTGTAGTTACATATATTGAAATACCAGCCATTAGTGATTTTACACTGCATCTACCCTGTAATAATTTTATATAATGGCTTCCTCTGGGACCGTTTTTATGTTACTATAACCCATAAATGTGAGAAGAAACATTCAGTGTTTCATTTTAGGATAAACATATAGTATAAGACAACAAACAGGAGCTGCAGGTTGCACAAAATCAAGGAAGTCGTGATATTTGCAAATAATTTATTTGTAAATTAGCACTCTCATTAGTATCTGCACATAAAGCCCATTTAGTATTCGCCATATATGTTTATTAACAAAATTGGGATTAGAAAAAAAAACACATTAAGAGTTTGACGTGCAAATTCAGAATCACTTTACAAACTTGGATCAAACAGCTGTTTATCTGGTTAATTTCTAAAGCACATTATGCTGTGAGTCTGTATTTCCTCCAAAACAATAATGAAACAGAAGGACTTTTTATAGTAGATTAAAGTGCAGAGATCAAACTGAAGTATGTTGCTGCTTACTGTAAAGTGTACAGGCAGAGTACTGATTATTGAAGGCCTATATGTTTGAAACTGGAAAAGGTTCCCATTCCCTTTGTGCTGCAGTAAAGAAGAAGTTGTGAAGTGGAAATTAACTTTTAGAAATATTCAGCAGCTCTCACAGAAACCTCTGACGGCTCCACCGTCAGAGGACACTGCTGACAACCCACCCAGAAGTAGGGGAAGACTCTCTCAGTGATGGCGTGCTTGAAGGTGTAGATGTGTGTGTTGTCATGTGGGTCGTAGAAAGACACTCTGCCCTTGTCACAGTCCAGCTGCACCCTGATCCTCTGTGGGGTCCTCTTCAAATTCAGCCTTGTTAAAGGAGACGTGCCGGCGAAGTACATTTTGTGGTAAAAGTACACGCTCAGGTAGCCGTTCTTTAGCACTGACGCCACTTTCTCTTTCCTCTGCACGGATTCTTTAGCCACGCCGACGACCCACGCCGTGTTGTCTCCCACGTTGACATCCCAGGCGTGCTTGCCTGAGGTGAAGCTCTCACGGCCCAGTACACCGGTGTCGGGGTCAAACCTCTCCGGGTTGTCGGGCAGCTTCTGCTTTTCGTCACTGTCAGAGACGCTGGTGAGGTCGTCTGACAGGACGAGCCACGGAGCAGCGGTGTTGGGGTCCAGAGTCACTGGGGCTGAAGAAAACATGGCAGATTGTCAGCTGTCTCTGACTGTAACTCAGTGAGCAGTGAGCATCACAAGCTTTTCTCCACCTCAGGAATACATGATGAGGTGAAATTGCACCTGAAAGTTTAAAGTCCCTCTCCAGTAACATTTTAAATACTTTTACTAATATTTCTTTAGTTTACACATAATAGCATAGAATAACTAGATACTAGACCACAAGATGGCGCCTATTCATTCCAATGGAGTTGCTCGCCTTTCACTTACACCAAAAAATTTGAGCTTCTGGATTTACTTCTGCTAAATGTGCACAATATTGTTTTTCCCACTGGCTTCGCCTGCGAGTTCCTGCTTGTCACATAGATTTTACATTGTGATGACATCACTTTTTTTTGGCTACAGAAAAGGTTAATAAATAAGATACCTCAATGGATTGAAAATTCATAAAAGAAAGAGTCATAATTGACCTTGTTTGCAGTTTGAGGTGTCCTGTCAACAGTTTTACAGACGTGTCTTTTACAATGGTGGTCTACGGGGAAAATGTTTTTTGGGCAGCAGATTTTTCTTGGCTGTAATACTGTCAGTGGCCACTAGGAAAAAATTGCTGCAAGGCTGAGCGGCTTTAATGGGGGTCTGGTTTGGTCAGTAGAGGTGGTTAGGGTTGGGGTTAGGGGGTCACAACTTGTGCTGGTGGCGGGCGTGGTTTGCAGGACATGTCGAATAGACTTCAAATGCAACGTGGCTGGAGCTATACGAACAGTAAATCGAGGCTAATAATAACATAGTTAGCTCATTTTTTTAAAGCATCCATGATTTTTTTAAACATAATATATTCTGGGTTTAATATATTATTACTCTATTTTTTAAACTTAATTAAAATTGGCAAAAAAGGCATTATGACTTGTTTAGAACTCGAAACGCAAAGATTAAGATTCGGGACTTGGTAGTCTTGACTTGGGAATCGACCTGGCACTTGTGTGCAAGACTTGAGACTCACTTTGGACTTGCAAAAAACCTGGTCCCACTTCTGCTTGGTTGACCAGAAAAGGAACAGTGCGTATTAAGATAGCTAACGTTAGCATCAGAGGCAACATTGGAGAGATTCAGCCATGCATGTTTGAGCCTCAGTCAGAATGCTAAGTTTAGTTAGCATCTTTTATTTATGTTGTATGTTTGATTATTAGCTTGTAGGCTAACGGGCAGTGGTTAATAGTTGGGAATCATACTGTAATATCTTGGTAGACAGTAGTTTACGTCCAAAAAGTGCACATTCTGCCATGTTTGTTGTCAAAACTTTGACTGTGCTAATGCTAACTCTGATCTCTCTGTCAAGTCTCCTTTGTGCTGAAGGTTTCAGGTGTTTCTTTGGTGGTGCTGTGTCAAAGTCTGTTCCCCTGTTGATACTAGAGGTCCACTGATACATCAGTTTGGCCGATTAATCAGTGCCGATAGGACTTTATAAATACTTTAGTTGATGGTGGAACGGGGCTCCGATTGTGGCCGATAGCTGTAACCTCCACTTGTCATGTGGGTACGACCGTAGGTAATATGCGCTTTAGATAATTTATATAATTTAAATGAACGTTAACTTATGTAGGACAGCATTATTTCTTTATTAAGGGCATTATAAGGTTGCTGGAAGGTTGCTTCCGTGGTTGCTTCAGGGCCCGAGCCAATCAGTCGATTATCAGCTGATTAATCCTGCTCCAAACTGTTGTTATCATATCGGCCATTAAACATCCACTATTGGTCGAACTCTAGTAGATCCGTGCCTCCCATATTAGACAACAATTGACTTTGACATTAGTGACGTACCTAATCTAGTTTTCCCGGCGCACGTTTGAATCTCAGATGTTGGGTAAAACATCGCCCCCTTCAGTGGAGGAATGTGAAACTCAGTGTTGTTAAGATCAGACATTTTAGGGGAAATAAACATTAGAAAAATACATTTTTTAAGTGGAGGGGGACTTTAAACAATCAACCTCACCATGACCTGACAAGTAGGACACTTTGTACTTACTGTATTTGACCATTTTATGCATCTTCTCCCACACGTTGAAGTTCAGCGAGCCCAGATATTGGGCCACATCTATGAGTGCTCCTGGAGCCATGACTGGATCTTCGACTGGGCTGCTCACTCTGCAGGGAGCAGAATTAGGCAGTTTATGTATCATGTTATGGAAGCAGAGAAAAGAAAAGTTGAAAATATAAAAACTTTTTTCACCTTGCCAATGTCCTCTTGCATTTCTGAAAAACAGAGGCAAAGTCACTCATTAAAAAAAATAGTATGCATGCATTTATTCATATTTCGAACATTTACAAACTTACATGAAGGACAGAGATGCCCTCCAACGCTATCTCCTCCTCTAAAGCTCTGATGGATTCAGACACAGACGTTATACTTCTTGTTATTTCCTCAATCTTCTGCATCATCGCACGACTCTTCTGCTCTTCCTCCCCCCTCAGTGCCTCCATCCTGGCTTCTTCCTCGGCTTCCAGGAAGCTGCGAAGCTTTGCAAACTCCTCTCGGGTCCGTCTCTCCACAAATCGAGCTTGGACCTGAAATAAAGTCCCGGTAATCATGACTCTGGAACGACCTGCAAGTGCATGATTTTGTATTTTAGCAGAAAAGCTGCACTACACCTGAATGCATGCCACAGTGTCCTCGTAGTTTTTCTTCATCTTGTCAAAAGCGTCCTTCTTCTCCTGCAGTGAGCTGAGGGCTGACTTCATTTTCTCCTGAGTAGATGATTAAGAGGAAATTAATTTGAAGGTTAATCTTTGAAGTTGGTGCCAGCTCATAACAGCTGTTTAAAGAACTTAGAAAAGCAGCCCTGAGGAGAAGCAAGTCATTATTCAAACTTAGATCTTGATTTTGTCTCGAAGTATTTACCTTTATGTCTACGATAGCCTCGCTGACGGGACAACAATCATGCTGTTTGTGCCTCCTCGAGGTGTGGCAAACCACACAGATTGGCTCCTCGTCCGGCACGCAAAAAAGCTTCAGCCTCTCCCCGTGAAGAGGACACATCTCCCCCGGATCGCAGTACAGCTCCCCTGCTGTCTCCTCCACACCCTCACTCTCCTGGATGAAAGACTCGCATAGGTTCTTCAGGGTGAGACTGGGCACGGGTTCGTCCACACTCTGGGACCTGCACAGGGGACAGTCTCGGCTGCGTGTGTTCCCACTCCAGTACTGCTGTAGGCAGGGTGCACAGAAGCTGTGGCTGCACTTGAGCACCACAGGGTCCCTGAAGATTTCACAGCATATGGGACAGGAAAGGTCCACCTCTGGGAGCGACAGCCTGCCTGCCATACTGACACTCCTGGTTTACTGTGAAAATGAAAGTAGGGCAAAGGTGCAGGCTGGTCAAACACAGGGTGAGCCCTTCTTTATACCCACAATCCCATGCTGTGGAGTCTGTTTACTTCACTACATGAACACCACTGAACACACACCAGTCTCTGAAGCCTTTGAGCACAAATTGATTAGCTGTCAGTTTCATGTAAGAAGAGTCAGAGCCAAACATACCTCACAGCCACAGTCCTGTGACTGATATACGTGTTTAGATGTGAGCACTTCCTGCTTCCTGTTTTCATGAGTCACTCAAAGGAGGCGGAGTCTCAGAGGCTGAGCAGGCATTTTAACCCTTAACTGACCCAGACTTCCCATTTACAGTCCAAATCAGTTGTTCACAGGGACGAACCTGAGGGGTGACCATACGATTTAAAGGACAAGGAAATGAGAACAGTATTGTTACACAAATTACGTTCATTATGTTAGATTATCTTTTTATTTTTGCTGTTTTCCAAGTGAAATACTGGATACTATCACCTCACCGGGGCTTTAAAATCCTTGAGGATGAGGTAGAAACTACTTTAATTTAAGGGACCATAAACCAAAAAGGTTGAGAACCACTGGTCTAAACTATGGTTTAAGTAATCTCAATGAAAAGCACTAACTCAATGCTCAAATTCATCTCAAGTTACAGGTATACTATGCAGGATTGTCCTAAAAAAAACAATATTTAGACTTATATTAAAGTCCATCCATCCATCCATTTTCAATCACATATCCGAAGCCGGGTTGTGGGGGCAGCAGGCTGAGCAAAGCACCCCAGATGTCCCTCTCCCCAGCAACACTTTCCAGCTCCTCCTGGGGGACCCCAAATTGTTCCCAGGCCTCCTACCAGTTGGACGTGACCAGAACACCTCTAACAGAAGGCACCCAGGAGGCATCCTCAACTGAACCCTTTCGATTCGAAGGAGCAGCAGCTCTACCCCAACCCTCCAACAACTGCCACATTAAGAGGGATTTGCGCATCACTATGATCCCAGGAGCTGTGTTGCCTGGGGCTAATAGCCTCTGGTAGGGTCTTCCAAGGCATAGTGGTCCCAGGGGAGAGGCCAGACTAAGAGCGGTTCAAGAAGACCTTGATGAAACAGCACATTCAGGAAAAGAGTACCTTGCAAGATATGGGGATATCAGGGTCCACCCTCCGGAGCCAGACCTGGGGTGGTGGCTCGCTAGTGAGCATCTGCTGGCCAGATTCAGCCCGAATGAATGACATGAAGCCACTGCCCTGTGGGCCCGCCACCTGCAGGGAGTGGCATCGGGGCCTGGTGCACTATGTGCCTGGCAGCAGGCATTTGCAGAGACCTGGCGTGAAGACCCCTGGTGTCGTGGACTGGCTCATACTAAAGTAATCCCTCTTAATCATCTATCAGTGTGTGGTAGTGTACTTTTCTGCAGAGACTCGGCCCTCTGCTTGGATTTTCTTATTTTCTCCTTATTTATTTGTTCCGTATGTTTATGGGCGATTGCCCCTGTAGCACTCAGGTGAAGTCAGGGCTTTACAAAAAGGTAGCAAGGAGGGGCCAGACCATAAGCAGTATGCATCCAGGAGACACAGCACCAGAAAAAACACACTTATAACCAGGCAAAAAGCCAAACGAGAGTGAACCTGTGGTTGGGTTTTACTTCCACTTTGTCTGGCGAGTGTGTTTTCAAACAGTAACTGAAAATCCTGCATAGTATACCTTTAAACTCTTCCAGCAAAACAGGCTTCATGAGGTCACGCTACATATTCAAATGTATAAAACTGTGTAGTTCTTCAAATATGTTTCAGGATAAAGACTGTAACCATATTGTAACACAATACTTTGAATCTATCACACAGTAAATACTGCATTGACGGTATCACTGCATCAGCACAGGATATGAAGCCCATTTGTCTATCAAATGAGCTTCAACTGAGCTGAACTCACAGCCCAGCCCAGCTTCCTGGAGTCATTTATTTGACCTCATAGTAAATGCTGCAACATGGTTAGAGTGAGAATACACATTTTACTGACATTTTGTTAGAGGAAGACTGTGTTATTTACAGTAAATGACCTGATTCTGTTTAGCTGTCTCTGAGAGGAAGTGATGATGAAATCAGCGCACAAATACAAAACAGGTGACAAAGCAAATATTTATTTTCTCATGTAATACAGTAAAATGTTCAGCTGAATAAAGTGAATGCTATTTTTTTATAGGTCTTCCTCTCTTTTCCCCCCAACACAGCAGAGCCATCGTTATGCTCTGACACATCCTAGTGAAAACAATGAAACTGTGCTCAGAGTTTATCAGTCTGGAGTCTTGTTGTTGATATGAGCCTCAAGTTTCCAGATATGTGTGCACAGTTTACTTGTTGTGTGTATATAATGGGGGAATAACAGCACGGAGTTCTGCCATCAGTTCCAAGGATATGTCGCCATCTAGTGGCCAACTAGAGCAAACTCTTCAGCTTTTAACTAATGCCAAATGCTGAGCATATTATGTAGTCAAATGGACGATGTAATCAATTTGAACATTCAGATTTTACTTGTTATTAGCAGTCCACTGTACAGTCACTCATTTTCATCTTTCATTTAACAGCTAATGGTTTTGCAGTTTGCACCACGCTGCGTTCCAAATTATGCTCAAATCATTTGATTTGATCAAAACGCTAATAAGAAAACTTTTCTGTGAGTTTATCATTCAGTAGGTCTGTTGCGGTAAAGTCACACTCCTCTTATATTTTTCTTTCTGGATTCTTTTTCTCCTTCATCACACAGTGTGCTGTAACTGTCCAGAAGGCCTCTCCTGGACGTGATGCTATTTTTATGCTCTGAAGAACAACAACAGACAGACAGAGAAAAATAGAGTCTGCTCACTGGGTTTGATAAATGTGTTTTACAACTTCAGGGCATCAGTGTGCAGACTCTATTTATCTTTAATGTTTCATTCTGTCCACGCAGAGTCCAGTTGTACCCATCCACAGCCTCCACACGGCGTCTGTGATTGTAACTTGATTAACAGTGTGCAGTAGGAACTTCTTTTTGATTGTATGGAAGCTCCTCGTCAGGAGCCTGAGGCCTGTTAATGTGCTGTGTTTGGCTCTGTTGTCCCACTCTGGTTCCTGATTAGAGCCAACAGGTCAGCACCATAATCACTTGAGTTATAGAGAACAAAACAGTTAGTCACCACGTTTCATTTAAATACAGGACGTCTGGAGGTGTTTTTAGAAATGTGGGAAAACAAAGACATGAGTATAGTGTGACTGCAGCAGTAGGGAAGGACCTGCAGTATCTCTCCGCTGCCCAGTGCTGTCAGAGTGTCCGTCATGGGGTGGGACATGTTGTCCATAAAGGGTGAGAGCTTGGCAATCATTCTCCTTTCTCCCACCACCTCCACCGGGTCGAGGAAGCATCCCAAGACAGAGCTGGCCTTCTTTATCAGTCTGTTTAGTCTTGTCAGGGTCATAGAAGGTCCTCAGGAGTGCCCACTGTACTCCAAACAACCTGAGTCTCCTCAGCAGTTGGAGTCTGCCCTGTCCTCTCTTGTATAGTACATTAGTGTTGTCTGTCCAGTCCAGTTTATTGTTCAGGTGAACACCCAGGTACTTGTAAGATTTCAGCATCTCAGTGTGCAGTGTAAAAGCGCTTTGAGCACTACACAAGCGCAGGTCCATTTAACATCCATTTAGTAACAAAACAAAACCATCTGTAGAAAAGGATGACTTAGCAATCTACATTCACAGGTACAAGGAATCCTCTGGAGGAACCTGCACATGTAGTTGCTCAAATTTTATAGAGAAAGCAGTCGTTATGATTCACTCAGTGGTTTCATGGGAGTACCAGTATAATTGTAACAAAGCCACAGTTGTAGCAACACCTTTTTCTCAAACTAAGGTGCGGTATGGAAACGTAAATACACACACATCATGCAATTCATTATACTCTTACTCATCCAAATGTGAATTGCCTGCAATAAACTCCACCAGAGATATTAAATTTAAATTTGACTGAAGTAAAGATTTCTTCTTTGTGATCGTACAGTTTTTGAAAACAAGCTGCTCCGATGTCAGTAGTTCAGTCTCAGCATATGCTATTCATACATGATACAGTGTTTTCAGTCAGGACCACTTTCAGAAAAGGAAACTTTATTTCCATTTGCAGTATTATATTTGGCAGTATGGCTCTGTTCTGGGGCCTTTCTGCCTTTCCTAGGCCTACACAGAAAGCCTCCTACACTCGCGTAAGTGGAAAGCCTAAGGCAGAGATGGCACACCTCTCTGCCCTTCCATGCACCTATGTGGAAAGCCTAAGGCAAAGAGCGCACACCTCTCTGCCCTTCCATGCGCCTTTGTGGAAAGCTTAAGGCAGAGATGGCACACCTCTCTGCCCTTCCATGCACCTATGTGGAAAGCCTAAGGCAAAGAGTGCACACCTCTCTGCCCTTCCATGCGCCTACATGGAAAGCCTAAGGCAGGGAGAGCAACAACAAAGACCCCCAGGAACAAAACAGAGCAGCATCAATGACAAACAGAAATGACATTGATAAGTCAGACACAGCATTGAAAGCAGGAGCTGGGGTGGAGGTGGGTTGAAAAGCGGTTTGCAGAGGAAGCAGCAACAGTAGGCAGGCCACAGCAGTTTAAATAGGGCCCTGAATGAGATTCACCAATTGGTTGCATAGAAAGGAATCATGTGATCTATCAGCTGACTCCCTTCCATCAATCAGCTGCTCCATCAGTTGATTGGGCTGTTTGAGATCAGTTGATTGGGCTGTTTGAGATCAGCTGATGTAGCTGGGATGTGAGCTGAGCTGCCTGAACTAATGCTATGCTTCAAATTGTAGGGTCTGAAGAGTGTTGCAAGAGTTGTTTGCTTTTGCCACAGATGTAGAGTGTTCTGCTGGTTTGGTGTAAGATGAAGTGGTTAGCATGTAGTCCAAACCAAAAGAAAGCAGCACAGAGTGGCTGTCAGCAGTTGGAGGAAAGAAACAGAGTGAAAACATCAGCCAGCTTTTATAGATCAAAGGCCCAGGTGACCCTAATCAGCTGACGAGCCTCCACAGCCAGCCAATTGCCAGCTGAGGTCGGCCAAGACCATTCATTTTTTACTACATGTAATCTTTATTTTATTGGCTATGCAATAATTTAACAGTTCATTAGTTACTTCTGTGTCACTTTTTGCTGTCCCCAGAGACTTTTCATTTTGACCCAGAGCTGCTGATTTTAATGACTGACTAATAAAGTGCTATCCTTGACTGGTGGAGTATCCCGTGCTCGGCCGTCCTG